TGGCTGGCCGGTAAGACCACGGGCACACCTTTGGTTGAGCGAGGTAACTGGGAAAGATGTTATTTCCTTTGTAGTATTCTTTGGTATTACCTAAAACTACCTGAGAAAAAGACCATGTGGGAAAAAATGGCTAGTTTTGTTTCCAGAACCATACTTTCAGGGGTTATTGGCTTTGTCATTTGTTCCACTCCTGGTCAAGGGGGGTGTTTTGGTTCCATTCAGATGAATGACATGCCCATTAGTCTATCAGTGGTGTTATTTATTGATTAAAATTTGAGTTAATGTGTAAATCAAATATGCTCTATTTAAGAGCTCTAGGAAGATTTTAACAATTTAAAAAAGTATTATGTTCTGTACTTTAAAATAACAGCTGCCCTATTTCTTAGACATGCTTACCATATTATTTATCTCCACTCACTGTTCAGCTTCTTTTTAAGGCAATTTAAATTATTCATACGATCGTGAAATATGCAGTTCTGTTTAAAACCATTTCTGTAAAATGTCGCACGATTGTGCACATTCCTTCCTTGTTAGTGTGTCAGTTTTATATGGGGCAGAAAGGTGTCACCTTGATGAGAAGCTGGTTCGCCTAGCACTCTCGTTATTCAGAACTTTGTTTCGTTTGCTGTTTCACGTTGAGACTTTTTTATTAATCACATAACGAGCTAGGAATGCTGTCCCGCAGTCTGGCGAGCTCACAACCTAGGGAAAAAGTCAGCTCTGAACACATCGTTATATAGCTATGTGCCAAGTGCAATGAATGTGCAAGTTCAAGAGTACACAAGGAGCCCACCTAACCTGGCTTATAAAGGTGGGATCCTCAGACATTTTCTGGACGAGGAGATGCCCAGCATGAGGAGGAATGAATTGAGGGGAGAGGCAGGGATTCTGGGGAAGTGGGAGTGTGTAGGGAGAAATTGTGTTTGAGACCAAGGAGATCTGATGAACAAAGTCACTCACGCAAAGCACAGTGCTCGTGTGCATTCATCCTGAATGGCTTAATTCTGCAGACTGCACAGCACCGACTCTCAGCCCGGGTGAGTGAGTTTGTATCCTGGCTTGCTGATTAACCTCTGTGCCTCTGTTTCTTCATCTGTAAAATGAGGATGGTGATAATATCTTAATTTGTAAAATTGTTTTTCTAAGATCAAATTTCATGGGAGGCATTTAGAATTAAGCCTGGCACATAGTTAGAATCAGAGTGTAAAGTGATCAAGCTGGATTAGTCAAATCTTAGAGACGTTGTCTGCCAGTTAAGTGAGTTTGGGCTTCATTCTGTAAGTCATAAAACATCAAGAAAATCCACCAGGAGGGCTAAAATGGAAAAAAAAAAAAAAAAAGGAAATATGTTGATGAGGACATAGAGAAATTGGAGCTCTTTTCTATCGCAACTGGGCATATAAAATGGTACAGCCACTGTGGAAACCGGGTGATGGTTTCTCTGAAAAATGAACCTAGAAGAACCAGGTGACCCAGCATCTTCGTCGAAGGCATGTACGAAAAGACATGGAAGCAGAGCCTGCACCCCAGTGCTCCTTACAACACCATTCACGTAGTCTAAAGGTAGAAGCAACCTAAATGTCCATCAGCTGATGAATGGATAAGTAAAATGTGATCTATACCTACAGTGGAATACTACTCAGTCAAAAGGAGAAATACAGTCTTCCTACAGTGTGGACAGAGCTGGGAGACATTATGCTGAACAAAATGTTGGCCACAAAAGGACCTCAGTTATAGAAACCATTAGAAAATGTAAATGAGGGGGAGCGGGGAGGGAGGGGAAAAATGAGGACCTAATGTCGGGGGTTTAAGTGGAGAGAAAATGTTTTGAGAAACGATGTACAAATGCGCTTTACACAATTGATGTGTGTATGGATTGGGATAACAGTTGTATGAGCCCCTAATAAAATGTTTAAAAAAAAAAATTGAGAAAAAAAAATTTGAGAAAAAAATAAAATAAAATAAAATAAAATGTTTTTTTCAAGATAAAAAAAAAAAAGAAAAGAAAATGTAAATGAATAGAGACCAGTGTTTATCAGATAATGGTAATGGAAAATCGCATTGCTTTAAGGGTAGGATTTCACAGCTGACTATTATAATTGCTGTCAAGTTGTATTGGAGGCTGCTTAGATACAACTAAGCAATTCAGGGGGTTAGTTCCCTGACTTGGAGGATTAGGGTCATGTTTTCATGAGACATCTCAGGTGCTTGCCCTATAATGTTTAGTGCTCCAGCTCTACCTCCTACTTTATTGTGTAGTGCCTAGTAACAGAAGCTTGCAAGTGATCATCCAAAGCACAATGATTGTACCCTATTCATTTGGAATAAGGAGCCCTCGTGGTGTAATGGTTATATGTTGGGCTGCAATCCACATGGTCAGCAGTTTGAAACCACCAGCAGCTTCTTGGGATAAAAACTGTGCTTTCTACTCCCGTAAACAGTTATAGTCTCAGAAACCCACAAAGGGTCGATATGAGTCAGCATTGACTGGATGGCAGTGAGTTTGGTGTAAGTTTTATTCACTTAGAGTAGCTGAGGAAAATGGAAAGTTAAGAATAGGAGGATATGGGATGTGTGCCTGATTACTTCCATGAACAATGGCCTCTTCTGCCATGAGACTAGAAGAATTGGATGGTGCCCGGCTACTGTTACCAAATGCTTGGATCAAAGATTCCAATGAAGAACACTGATCAAGAGAGAGAAAACAGAACATAAAATTGAATTTTCATGGACGCTAGAGCCATTCTCAATGGATGAGCCCTTGAAGCTATTAGCCTGAGATCATTTTTAAACTTTAACCTAAAACATCCCCCGAAGTCTTTTTTTTTTAAGTCTTCTGAAGATCAAACAATAACCAACAAACCAAACTCACTGGCATCGAGTCAAAGTTGACTTATAGTTACCCTCTAGGACAGGGTAGAACTGACCCAGTGAGTTTCTGAGACTGTAACTCTTTACAGGAGTAGCAAACCCATCTTTCCCCCATAGTTTCGCTTAATTAGTTAAAAAAAAAAGTCTTCCTTAAACATCGTGCTGTTTGAAGAATTCTCCGCGTGGCACTAAATTGAAAACAGCTCTAGAAAGATGAAGCACAAACCTTCAAGGGCAGTGAGTTTATGTTAGCGAGGGAGGAAGAAGCAGAAGAGATCAATGGCTCTAAATTGTCCTCCTGGGAACTGTTGAATCAGTGTATGCCTTGGTGTGTACATTCTCAACAGTAAAATAAAATCTAGAGGGTGGTAGAAAAAAAGAGACAAGCAAAGGTTTTGAGCAGGGAAATGACATGAGTGAGTTTGTGTTGCTGTTACAACACTGTGGTTTTGTTGAAGAGAGAGCTGCAGACCAGTCAATAGACTGCAGCAGTAATGGAGGCGTGGATTAAGATAATGAGAGTAGAGATGGACCAGAGGAATGACTGCATAAATATTTAATAGGTTAAATCGCAGACCATTATTGATTGGGCATGAGGGATTATGATAGGGGAGAGTTGGATTTGAGTTACAAAGACATAAGCAACCAATTCAAAATGTAAGTAAAACTAATGAGAAAACCGTCCGGGTTGACATGTGAACATCTCTAAGGAAACATATGGCTTCATTTGTCTGTTACAAATCCTAGACAAGACTAACAAGAGTCCTAACAGACTAGCCAAGAAAGATAGTTGCTTGGCATTTTCAGGTCCGTATTTATAGGTAATGCATTTGCAAATTTTCATAAACCACAGCTGAAGTAGAAATTCTGTATGCATCCATAGCTCCAAATACATACCTGACACCCTTTCTGGAAAGCTTGGTGTAGGGCGGTTGACGTGTTTCACTGATTGCGTGGCTTTGTGTCGCTTCGGATTGCAGTCCTCTTCTGGGAACTGGCTCATAATCTCACCTCACTGCGTTGGTTTACCTATTACCCTTCAAAAGTCTTTTCGGATAATGATCTCCCCCTCAGTGTGTGTCAGTTTCACACTGTGCTTTCCTGAACAGATGTGCATGCAGATGCCTCTTTTTAATGCATATTTTGAGTTCTGTAACATAGTGAGTCACTTAGAAAATCGTGTCTTCTTTAATGTTCATTACCCAAAATGATTTTTCCTACTTGAAGAAGAAAATCTCATGACTCACTGCATGGTATTTCAATGAATCCCATAGTCCCAGGGGGAGCGTCTGACCCAGCAGAGGCTTCCAGAGTTGTTTCCAACGATGTCCATTCCAGTTGCCCAGTTCACAGGCCATTTTTGGTTGTTATTTTTAAATATCATTCTTGCTTGTACTCATGGCTTAGGATCTTCTCCACTGAAGAATTGTGCTTTAGCAGGCAAAGATTTACATTCAACCATTGGGTTGTTGCATTGTTTCAGTGGTATAAAATGAGATGTTTTCATTCAAAGTGAGCTGTTATTACTAAAAACAATGTCCCTGTTTGGCAGGAGAGTACCGTGAACAACACTTGGCTTTTTTTTTATTGGAAATAGAGTTTCAACTACTACAATTTTCAACCAGACAACCAAATGAGTGTGCAATAAGAAACATTTTACTCGAATTATTCCACCAAGGTCTGGGTCATTCAGATGTTTTAATAAAACTTCCAAGCTCATCTTCCCTCTCACTTAACAACAAAACAACTTTAAAATCTATTTCTTGTGTCTAGAAGTCGAGCTTGAAAGAACTGACTGCAAAGCTAGGTCCCCTGATAGCCGTACGCACGTCTAAGAGGAGCTTAGAAAACTGACTTAGGAAAGACATAGGTAGGCGATTGGATTTAGTATCTGTGTCTTGTAGTTTCTGTAAATACTGACCCTTTGTTGCATCCCACTGAAACTGATCAAAACAAAAATCTTCTAGAGTAACTCAATATTTTTTCCCCAAATGGCTCTTTTTACTTGTTTCCACACACAGATATACAAGTAAAACTTTTCTCATACTGAGTTTCCTATCATCTTCTCCTTAGAAAATGTGTAACGTTTCTTTTTGTGCTAGTTACTATAGCGTTTTTAATATCCCCCCTCCCCCTGCAGGTATTCTTGGCGTCACCAGCTGAGGGAGTTTAAAAGGGAATACCGAGCTGTAGCACTGGATTTGAGAGGCTATGGAGAAACAGATGCCCCCACTCACCAAGGTCATTATAAACTGGACTGTCTCATTACAGATATAAAGGATATTGTAGACTCTTTAGGTAGGTTTTGTCTTTTAAAATAATATTAATTCTTTTTAAAGGCCAACAGGCAACAAATTAATATTTCGTGGGAGGATTCATTTTCTCTCTTCTTTAGCTGGTATCTGGGTCCTGTCACCATGCTTTTGGGTGTACAGCCAGAAAATTCTTACAGGGAATTCAAAATAATGCATCCAGACTTGCCGTTCAGTTCACCCATCAAAATGGCTTATAAATTTTCTTTCTGAAAATAGATCTCGATTGTTTGTTCTTTTAAAAACTAATTACAAATTTGATTTTTAGGTGACTAAAAATTTGATTTTTTACTCTCAGAAACTGACTCCATCAGAAGCTACACTTAATATTCACTGAGACATTCTGTAAGGTACAGGAGTACTTGCCTTATCTCTTTTGAGTTGATTAGCTAATGCCACAGAAACATTGTATAGAAAACCAATTCAAACTTAATGTAACACATACAGCAAAGAGCATTTATTCTTGTACTCCAGGATCTTGAGGTCAACTGAGGATTGACCGTTACTAGCTGAGCCCCACTTGGTGATTTTGCTTCAATCTGCAGGTCCAGCTGGGGTTGGCTTCTTGCAGTGGGTTGAGCTGGAGCCCAACCTCAAAGGGTAGCAGTCTGAGGGTTGAGCCTCTCATGGCGAGCCCCACTGTATAAGCATATTTCAAATTTCTGGAAATCACTAAATAAAAGCAGTCATGTGGCCAAGTCAAAAGTCATGTACCCAACATGAGACCAAAGCCTAATATCAAGGAGGCAAAGGAGTAAACTTCTTCTGTGACAGTGGGGAAGACAGAAGGAGGTAATATTTTTTTTCAACAATATAATCTGCATCCCTCTTGGTAAAGCTCAGCTGCTACCATGGACATGTTAACCAAACTGACATAAATGAAATGAAAGCCCTTTTATATTAATCTGATGAAAGCAGAGCATAAATAAAACCAACATTTTTAAAGAAGAAAAAAATGGACAGCCAGAAAATGACAATGCATAGTTGTTATGCAAATAGCCACACTGATGTACAGCCCCGGATTTCATTCACATTTTTTATAATTCATTCAGGTCTGTCTTAAAATTTGTCACCATGATTTTCTAGGCAAATCAATAAAATAAGATGAATTTTTAATGTGTATGTATGTGAGGGGGTTTTACAGTGGCGAAGAGGGAAATGAGGAATATAGTGGAGGAATATTTATTTGAGACTTAATTCTTTAAGAGTTCTCATAGTAATGTACAAATGAATCTGACCCACCTATTCAAAGTGACTACTGTGGGAATCTGTATTAAGCAATATTTTTTAACCTAACTCACGTTACCATAGACTTACATCAACGGGAACTTGTCTATATAATTGATATAATTCAAGGCTTTCCACTAATTCAGTTTGACTTCACAGTTCCAAATTAGTGAGGGTCCCAAGGTTGGGTTGGATTACAAAGTTCGGGAGTAAAGAAATGCTCTTTTAAAATAAAGATTTTCAAGTTAGATATAAATGGGTATTTAGTGAGAATTTATGGTTTAGTGTGACAGGGAATTTACAGCATTTCAAAGAAATAACCTAAACAATTTTGTTTATGAATTAATTATGTACCATCCACACTAAGGTTTCCAAATTCCTATCCAAGGGGACCAGACCTAAGGTAGCTATTTCAAAATTAGAACTTTTTAGGACATTAAAAGCCCAAAACCCATCTGCAGAGTGTCTAGTCAGACCAAGCCGCTGGCAGATCCGCTCTGATTACAGGCAACAGTCCTGAACAGCCTTAGCACCAGGCAGAGACCACTGTCACCCTGATGATGCTGGACGGAGCTTGAGGTTTGGCTAGTTGACCTCCCTACAAACTCATCCTGAATTTGTTCTGGGTGCAAGTATCTCATAGACGTTCTATGACAGGAATTTCTTCCCTGACTTCTTGAATGTTGGTTGGGGTGAGGGTGGGGGGGTCTTCTCCCTCTCAGGCATTATTTGTATTTTTGTCTTTATACTAATATGATCTTATCCCTACCACTTTAGTGCAATTTTTTTCTCATTGTTTTCTGTTGGGTTTCCCAGCGGTGAAGCCCAGGAGTGGACATATAATGATAATAACTGATTCGTGGTGTTACCAGGAATGCAGGGGTAGGAGATGGGCAATAGGTAGGGAAAGGGGATTTTGGGAGTAAATAATGACGGTGGGAAGGGGGAGGGGGTAGTAGAACTGATCGTGACTGCACAACTCATTTTAAAGGTTATTTAACCATGGGGGTGGGGTGGAATGCTCTAAAATAGATGTGGTGCTGGTTGTACAATTCTCCTAGGTATGATTGAACAATTGAATTATCCAGTTGTATGATATGCAAATTACATGCCAATACACTGTTGAAAATAAATAAAAACATTTTTTAAAAAGGATTCCTGAAGGGATGCTGAAACTGTGTTGTCTATAGTAGAGCCTGAGCATCTAAATTTTCTAAAAAGCTACCGAGTCAGGTTACAGACCCACTGAACTGATGGCCTGTGCACAGGTACGTGCACACAATGGGGTAGACTCACATCTCTGCCCCCGAGGCCACTCGAACGCGCAGTGACTCTGTACAGGGTTTCTGAGACTGTATGTCTGTAAGGGACAGCGGCTTCATCTTTGTCCTGAGGAATGGCTCAGGTGCATCTGAATCACAGACCCTGGGGTTAGCAGCCCTCTATTTAATCACAGTGCAAGGAAGGCTCTTAAGTAGGGTAGTGGAAAGATAAGTTAGGTTTGGAAGTGTAATTTGTTCATGTGAGGTAATGCCACACCCACCTGTCCCCTTTTCTCTAATGTCAACACTCTCAATTACAGGATACAGCAAATGTGTTCTTGTTGGTCATGACTGGGGGGGCCTGATTGCTTGGCTAATTGCCATCTGTTATCCGGAAATGGTGATGAAGCTTATTGTAATTAACTTTCCTCATCCAAATGTATTTACAGGTAAGTTAAGTTTTCATTAAAATATCTATGCTGTGCAAGACATGGAAAAAATAATAATTTACGAATTATCAAGGGACCGTGAGGGAGGGAGGCTGGCGAGGGGGGCAAAAATGAGCTGATACCAAGGACTCAAGTAGAAAGGAAATGATTTGAAAAGGATGATGGCAACACATGTACAAAGGTGCTTGACACAATGGATGGATGGATGGATTGTTATAAGAGCTGTACAAGCCCCCAATAAAATGATTTATATATACATATATATAAATGCTGAAGTGATCATTCCAATCTGACACATACGGTTTAAAAAGATGACTCATAGCAATCCTACAGGATAGAGCAGAACTGTCCCTTTGAGTTTCCGAGACTGAACTCCTTAGGGGAGTAGAAAACCAGTCTCTCTCCGAAGGAGTGGCTGGTGGTTTTGAACTGCAGACGTTGCAGATCCTAGCCCAACTCATAACCACTACACCTCCGGGGCTCCTTTCATAAGGGACAGTGGAATATAATGTGTGTGTGTGTGTGTGTGTTGTGTGTGTGTGTGTTGTGGGTGTGCTGTATCAGGTTTATGCTGGCTTCCTAGAACAAAATTCCCACAGTGTACCGTCCACTTCCATGTTGCTAAGGAGATCCAGTCGTGTTGGTGTCCAGTCTTTTTGAATGTTTATATGTACGTGTATGTGTAATCTATATGTGATTTAAATATGTGCGTATGAGTGTGTGACGTATTACTCCCCAGTATAACCCTCAATTCTTTCCCAAAGCACTTTAACTAAAGCTCCTAAAAACACACAAACAAAAACCCAACACCCCTGTGACCCACTGCACGCAGACCAGACTAACCATTCTGAATGGCTCACAAGGATCCGGATTCTGCTTTTCTTTCTAATTAGTTGCATACCATCTTCCCCTCAATCACTAAACAGCAGCCACACTGGCCTTCTGGTTCTTGAAGGTGCCAAGCCGGAGTCCCTGCTTCCCACGAGGAGCTGTTCTTGGACGTCGCTCCCTGGAGCTTCGCGCAGCTGAACTCCCAAGATGGCTTCACTTACCACACCGACTAGATCAACACTCCTCTACGTCATAGCTCACGCGATTACTTAATTTTATTTTCTTATGGCATGATTACTATTCAAACTGATGTTTTAAGTGTTTATTTACTGTCTCAGTTTCTTCTTAGTGAGGATTTTTTCTGTCTTGTTGATGGCTAAATTCCCCAGGATGCAGTGTGTATTTTTAATAGTTACTGAAAAAATGAGTTCCATTTAAGTCAAATGAATAAGATATTCATTTAATCTGTTAAACCTGGAGAAACTCTTTTAAACGGTGTGATATTACCTCTCATAGATCTCTGGGTGAAGTGTTACCACCATCAGCTGCTATAGGCCAGTTCCAACCCAAGGTTAACCCATGTGTGTAAGAGTAGAACAGTACTCCAGTGGGTGTTCAATGGCTGATTTTTTTACAAAGCAACCCTCTAGGTCTCTGGGTGGACTTGAACCTCCAGCCTTTCAGTTAGCAAACTAATTCATGAATCATTCAGACCAGGGTAAATGTTAGGTGACTGGAAACTACATGGAAGCAAAGCACTGGTACTTGGGTTTCCGGTTCTCTCCTGAGCCAAGACTTCATAAAGAGGAACTTCCTTTTTATGGAAAGTTTTGAAAATTTCTCAACACCAAAAGTACCCACATTCAAATATAGGATTATAGAATATTCAAATATAAAATCATAGAAATTGTTCCAAAGAGAAATATACGGGCACTGTATTTTTAGATTCTTTTACTGGAACATCTCAAAGGTAAAATTGCCTATAAAACGAGATCTTTCAATAACAAGTAATTTATATGCTTTAAGTAAAGTCTAATACAGCATTTTAATTTCAGAATATATTTTACGACACCCTGCCCAGCTGTTCAAATCCAGCTACTACTACTTCTTCCAAATACCATGGTTCCCAGAATTTATGTTCTCGATAAATGATTTCAAGGTAAGTCAAACAAATAATGTTTGCAGAAAAGCACATGTAAAAGTTCATCCTTCAGAAAGAAAAACTGAGGAAATGTTAAAACCATAACTACTGGGTGCACAGCGGTTGAGGTTTTTGTAAGAACCTGTGCTTCGATGGGCATCCCTCGCTCACACAGGCAGGGATGACTGACAACAGTCGAGATGAAAGCACACAGCCTTCGGAGTAAGCAGGGAGATGCTGGTGTACTGTGTGCACTGACGACAGGAGCCTCATGCAAGTACCTATTTCTTGGAAACTCACCGGATCCTTCTTATAGCTGTGTTGCAACTGTCTCATTGTTAGCTGCCGCTGAGTTGGCCACCAACTCTGCACAACAGAATGTAACACACCCTAATCCTGCATCAACCCCATGATGGGTTGCAAATGAGACCTTTGTCCTCCATTGGGTTTTCAGTAGCTGGTTTTCAGAAGTCATCACTAAACCTTTCTTCCTAGTCTGTCTTACCCTGGAAACTCTACTGAAATCTCTTCAGCATCTTAGCAACATCCAAGTCTCCACTGATAGATGGATGGTGGTTGTGCATGAGATGCTTAAAGAATCAAACCCTGGATATTCTCATGGAAGGTGAGAATCCTACCACTGAACTACCACTGCTGTCTTAGCCATTGGGAGCGGTTAAAAATGAGTCATGGCACTTACTCCAATAGGTTACTACAATCTTGAGGGGCGGGGTGGAGGGAATGGTACATTGAGACAGCATGGCTAGTTGAAAATAACCACGGGTTAGGATGTGTGATGTAGGCTAGAGATCACTGGTAGTGTTGTCCAGTAAGTGTTAGACTGCTAAATGCAGGGTCAGCAGTTCAAACCCACCAGCTGTTCTGTGGGAGAAAGCTATGACTCCTGTAACTGGAAACCATATATGGCAGCAGTTCTCAACCTGTGGGTTGTGACCCCCCTTGGGGTCAAACAACCCTTTCATGGAGGTCGCCCAATTCATAACGTAGCAAACTGACAGCTATGAAGTAGCAATGAAAATAATTTTATGGGTGGGTGGGGTCACCACAACACGAGAAACTGTATGAAAGGGTCGCAGCATTAGGAAGGTTGAGAACCACTGGTACATTGAGTTACTGTGAGTTGGAATCAACTCAATGGCAGCAGGTTTTGGTTTTGTATCTAGAGTGTCTGAAGAAAGGATTAGACAAATGATTCAATCACTAATAAATAATTAGTCCTTTACAAATGTGACATTCTGGATATTTTAAAGTTAGGGTGTGGCTCAGGAATTTGCATTTTATTTTAAAATGTTGTGGAAAATTTAAAACATAATCCAAAGGAAATAGCATAATCCCCATATAACCATCACTCAGCTTCAACAGTGTTGAAGAGTTTTCTGATCTTGTTTCATTTCTCCTTCTGTTCCATTTATTTATTGCTATATGATAAAGCACTCCAACATTTGCTAGCTTAAAGTTACAACTGTCTCATTATCTTTCTGTTGGTTGATTGGGCTCAGCTGGGTGGTTCTCATTATACCTATTGAAGCTGCCATGACTGGGAGTGCAAGATGACTCAGATGGCTCTTGGGTGAAGGATACAGCTTGAATGGGCTTCTTTGTCTCTGTGTGGTCTCGGGGCCACTCCCTCTCCATGGAATACGCTACTCTACAGCAGGGTAGCCTAATTTCTTTTATGGAGGCTCGAAAACAAACAGACCCATTGTTGTGGAGTGCAGAACACCTTACACTCACTAGTATACGACAGAGTAGAACTGCCCATAGGGCTGTAATCTTTATGGAGTAAGGCTGCCACATTTTTCTCCTGCAGAGCAGCTAATGAATTTGAACCACTAATCGTTTGGTTAACATCCCAAGACTTAACCAGTGTTTCACCATAACTCTTTTAAGGTGTCTCGGAGCTCCAAAAATAAAGCAGGAATTGGCACAATGTCACTTCTGCTGCTTTGTTTTGTTCGTGAATATGAGTCACAGGCCAGGTCCAATTCAATGCAGAAAACACTGCTCAAAGGCAGGTGGTTCCTATATCCTTACTGACAGCCCTATTTGGAGACACAACCCCCCCCCCCATCTTTTTTTTAAGTGATACGAGTATTTTACATCAAATGCAAGATATAATTATTAGAAATACTTTTGTGTATATCCCTGACAGATGATGACTTTTTAAATTGAAAACATAACTATGATGCCATTTTTTAAAATCATTTTATTAGGGGCTCATACAATTCTTATCACAATCCATACACACATCAATTGTGTAAAGCGCATTTGTACATCATTCTCAAAACATTTTCTCTCCACTTA